CACTCACTCACTCACTCACCCACTCACTCACCCACCCACTCACACACTCACTCACTCACTCACCCACCCACTCACTCACCCACTCACTCACTCATTTACTCACTCACTCATTCACTCACCCACTCACTCACCCACTTATTTACTCACTCACTCATTTACTCACTCACCCACTCACTCACCCACTCACTCACTCATTCACTCACCCACTCACTCACTCACCCATTTACTCAATCACTCATTTACTCACTCACTCATTCACTCACCCACTCACTCACTCACTCACCCATTTATTCAATCACTCATTTACTCACTCACCCACTCACTCACCCACCCACTCACTCATTCACTCACCCACTCACTCACCCACTCACTCACTCATTCACTCACCCACTCACTCACCCATTTACTCACTCACTCATTCACTCACCCACTCACTCACCCACTCACTCACTCATTCACTCACCCACTCACTCACCCATTTACTCACTCACTCACTCACCCATTTACTCACCCACTCACTCATTCACTCATTCACCCACTCACTCGCCCACTTACTCACCCACTCACTTACTCACCCACTCACTTACTCACCCACTCACTTACTCACTCACCCACCCACCCACCCCCTCACCCACTCACTCACCCACTCACCCACCCACTCACTCACTCACTCACCCACCCACCCCCTCACCCCCTCACTCACCCACCCACTCACCCACTCACTCACCCACCCACCCACCCACTCACCCACCCACTCACCCACCCCCTCACCCACCCACCCCCACAGGTGAGCTACATGGAGATCTACTGCGAGCGTGTACGTGACTTGCTGGCCCCGCGTGCCCGCGGGAACCTTCGAGTCCGTGAGCACCCCCTGCTGGGGCCCTACGTGGAGGACCTGGCCAAGCTGGCCGTCGCCTCCTACAGCGACATCGCACATCTCATCGACTCGGGCAACAAGGCGCGGTGCGGTGGGGGGAGGGGGGTTACTGTGGGGGGGAGGGGGGTCACCCCCACACCCAGCCACTTACTCACCCACTCACCCAACCAGCTACTCGCTCACTCACCCACCAACACACTCACCCACCCACTCACCCACACACTCACTCACCCACTCACCCAACTAGCTACTCGCTCACTCACCCACCAACACACTCAACCACCCACTCACCCACACACTCACCCACTCACCCACCAACCCACCCACTCACCCACACACTCACACACTCACCCACTCACCCACCAACCCACCCACTCACCCACACACTCACTCACCCACCCACCCACTCACTCACTCACCCACACACTCACCCACTCACTCACCCACTCACTCACCCACCAACCCACTCACCCACTCACTCACTCACCCACACACTCACCCACTCACTCACTCACCCACTCACTCACCCACCAACCCACTCACTCACTCACTCACCCACACACTCACCCACTCACTCACTCACTCACCCACTCACTCACCCACCAACCCACTCACCCACTCACTCACTCACTCACCCACACACTCACCCACTCACTCACTCACCCACTCACTCACCCACCAACCCACTCACTCACTCACCCACTCACCCACACACTCACTCACCCACTCACTCACCCACTCACCCACTCACCCACCCACTCACTCACCCACTCACTCACCCACTCACCCACTCACCCACTCACTCACCCACTCACTCACTCACTCACCCACCCACTCACTCACCCACTCACCCACTCACTCACCCACTCACCCACCAACCCACTCACTCACTCACCCACTCACCCACCCACTCACTCACCCACCCACTCACTCACCCACCCACTCGCTCACCCACTCACTCACTCACCCACTCACCCACCCACCCACCCACTCACCCACTCACCCACACACTCACCCACTCACTCACTCACTCACCCACCCACCCACCCACTCACTCACTCACCCACCCACCCACCCACTCACCCACCCACCCACCCACTCACCCACTCACCCACCCACTCACCCACTCACTCACCCACTCACTCACCCACCCACTTACCCACCCACTCACCCACCCACCCACTCACTCACTCACCCACTCACCCACCCACCCACTCACTCACTCACCCACTCACCCACTCACTCACCCACCCACCCACTCACCCACTCACCCACCCACCCACCCACTCACCCACCCACTCACCCACCCACCCACTCACCCACCCACTCACCCACCCACCCACTCACCCACCCACTCACCCACCCACCCACTCACCCACCCACTCACCCACCCACCCACTCACCCACCCACTCCCCTTCCCCCCCCAACTCCGTGATTCAGGACGGTGGCCGCCACCAACATGAACGAGACAAGTTCACGCTCCCACGCCCACCCACTCACTCACCCACCCACTCACTCACCCACTCACCCACCCACCCACTCACCCACCCACTCACCCACTCACCCACTCACCCACTCACTCACCCACCAACCCACTCACCCACCCACCCACTCACCCACCCACTCACCCACCCACTCACCCACCCACTCACCCACCCACCCACTCACCCACCCACTCACCCACCAACCCACTCACTCACCCACCCACTCACCCACCCACCCACCCACTCACTCACCCACCCACCCACCCACTCACTCACCCACCCACTCACCCACCCACCCACCCACTCACCCACCCCACTCACCCACTCCCTCACCCACTCCCCTTCCCCCCCAACTCCGTGATTCAGGACGGTGGCTGCCACCAACATGAACGAGACAAGTTCACGCTCCCACGCGGTCTTCACCATCGTGTTCACACAGCGGCGTCAGGCAGACGCTGCGGACATGGGCACGCTCACTGAGAAGGTCGCACACACACACACTCACTTACACTCAGTCACACACTTACACACACACAAACACTTACACACACTTACTTACACTCACTCAGTCACACACTTACACACACACACACTTACACACACACACACACTTACACACACACTCACACACACACTTACACTTACACACTTACACACACACACTTACACACTCACACACACTTACACACACACTCACACACACACTTACACACACACTTACACACACACTTACACACACACACACTTACACACTCACACACACACTCACACACACACTTACACACACACTTACACACACACTTACACACACACTCACACACACACTTACACACACACTTACACACACACTCACTCACACTCACTCAGTCACACACTCACTTACACACACACTCAGTCACACACTCAGTCACACACTCACACTTACACACACACTCACACACACACTCAGTCACTCACACACACACACTCAGTCACACACTCACTCAGTCACACACTCACTCACACACACACTCAGTCACACACTCAGTCACACACTTACACACACTCACTCAGTCACACACTCACTTACTTACACACACACTTACACACTCAGTCACACACAGTCACTCACACACACACACACTTACACACTCAGTCACACACTTACACACTTACACACACACTTACACTCACACACACACTTACACACACACTTACACTCACACTTACACACACACTTACACACTCACTTACACACTCACTTACACACTCACTTACACACTCACTTACACACTCACTTACACACACTTACACACACTTACACACACTTACACACACTTACACACTCACTCACTTACACACACACACACTCACACACACACACACTTACACACACACACACTTACTTACACACACACTTACTTACACACACACACTTACTTACACACACACACACTTACACACACACACACTTACACACTCACACACTTACACACTCACACACACACTCACACACACACTTACACACTCACACACACACTTACACACTCACTCACACACTCACTTACACACACTTACACACACTTACACACACTTACACACTCACTCACTTACACACACACACACTCACACACTCACACACTTACACACACACACACTTACTTACACACACACTCACACACTCACACACTCACACACTCACTCACACACTTACACACTTACACACTCACTCACTCACACACTTACACACACTTACTTACACACACACTTACTTACACACACACACACTTACACACTCACTCACACACTCACACACTTACACACTTACACACTCACACACACACTTACACACACACACACACTTACTTACACACACACACACTTACACACACACACACTTACTTACACACTCACACACACACTTACACACACACACACACACACTTACACACACACACTTACTTACACACACACACACTTACACACTCACACACTTACACACACACACTTACACACTCACACACTTACACACTCACACTCAGTCACACACTCACACTCAGTCACACACTCACACACACACTCACACACTCACACACACACACTCACACACTCACACACACACACACTCAGTCACACACTTACACACACACTTACACACTCACACACACACACACTCACACACTCACACACACACACACTCAGTCACACACTTACACACACACTTACTTACACACTCACACACACACTTACTTACACACACACTTACACACTCACACACACACTCACACACACACTTACACACTTACACACACACTCACTTACACACACACACTCACTTACACACACACACTCACTTACACACACACACTCACTTACACACACACACACACTTACACACACACACACTTACTTACACACACACACACTTACTTACACACACACACACACTTACTTACACACACACACACTTACTTACACACACACACACTTACACACACACACACTCACTTACACACACACACTCACTTACACACACACACTCACTTACACACACACACACACTTACACACACACACACTTACTTACACACTCACTCACACACTTACTTACACACTCACACACACACACACTTACACACTCACACACACTCACACTCAGTCACACACTTACACACTCACACACTCACTCACACACTTACTCACTCACACACTCACTTACACACTTACACACACACTCACTTACACACACACTCAGTCACACACACACACTTACACACTCACACACACTCACACACACACTTACACACTCACACACACACTCACACACACACTTACTTACACACACACACTTACTCACTCACACACTTACTTACACACACACTTACACACACACACACTTACACACACACACACTTACACACACACACTTACACACACACACACACTCACACACTTACACACACACACTTACACACACACACTTACACACACACACTCACACACACACTTACACACTCACTCACACACACACTCAGTCACACACTTACTTATACACACACACTTACTCACTTACACACTTACACACACACTCACTCACTAACATACTTACACACACACTCACTCACACACTCACACACTCACACACACACTTACACACTTACTTACACACACACACACTTACACACTCACACACTCACACACTCACACACTTACTCACACACTTACACACTCACACACTCACTCACACACTTACACACTTACACACACACTCACTCACACACTTACACACACACTCACTCACACACTCACACACTTACTCACACACACCCTCACACACTCACTCACACACTTACACACTTACACACTCACACACACTCACACACTCACTCACACACTTACACACTCACACACACACACACTCAGTCACACACTTACTTACACACACACACTTACTCACTCACACACTTACACACACACTTACTCACACACACACTTACACACTCACACACTCAGTCACACACACACTTACACACTCACACACTTACACACTCACACACTCACACACTTACACACTCACACACTCACACACTCACACACTTACACACACACTTACTCACACACACACTCACACACTTACACACACACTCACACACACACTTACACACTCACACACACACTCACACACACACTTACACACTCACACACACACTTACACACTCACACACACTTACACACTCACACACACTCACACACACACTTACACACTCACACACACACTTACACACTCACACACACACTCACACACACACTTACACACTCACACACACACTTACACACTCACACACACACTTACACACTCACACACACACTCACACACACACTTACACACTCACACACACACTTACACACTCACACACACACACACTTACACACTCACACACACACTTACACACTCACACACACACTTACACACTCACGCACACACTCACACACACACTTACACACTCACACACACACTTACACACACACACTCACACACACACTTACACACTCACACACACACTTACACACTCACCCACACACTTACACACTCACACACACACTCACACACACACTTACACACTCACACACACACTTACACACTCACACACACACTCACACACACACTTACACACTTACTTACACACTTACACACACACACTCACACACACTCACACACACACTTACACACTCACACACACACTTACACACTCACACACACACTCACACACACACTTACACACTCACACACACACTTACACACTCACACACACACTTACACACTCACACACACACTCACACACACACTTACACACTCACACACACACTCACACACACCCTTACACACTCACACACACACTTACACACCTACTTACACACTCACACACACACTCACACACACACTTACACACTCACACACTCACACACTCACACACACACTCACACACACACTTACACACTCACACACACACTTACACACTTACTTACACACTTACACACTCACACTTACACACACACACACTTACACACACACACACTTACACACACACACACTCACACACACACTCACTCACTCACCCAGCCACTCACCCATCCACCCACTCAGTCACTCAGTCACTTGCTCGCTCACTCACTGACTCACTCACTCAGCCACTCACCCATCCACCCACTCACTCACTCAGTCACTCACACACTCACTCACTCGCTTACTCACTCACACACTCAGTCACTCACTTACTCACACACTCACCCACACACTCACCCACCCACTCAATCACTCAGCCACTCACTCACCCACTCACCCACACACACTCGCCCACACACACTCGCCCACACACACTCGCCTACACACACACCCACACACACTCGCCCACACACACTCGCCCACACACACTCGCCCACACAACAACAACAACCGCCATTCACCACTAAGTGGTGGTGACGTCACCATGACGCTTGTGCCAGGCTATGTGCACCCTGAGGCCACGTGAAGTGTCGAACGCCCGCTGGCAGGAGGTCACGGGGCAGATCCAGGTGCCACGGGTCGACTGACTGAGATGACTGAGATGACCGGCTGATGCACCACCTGTGCCCCCTACTGTGCCAACCTGCTGTGCTTTAGCCACCCGGCGCTCCGCTCGTTGTTGTGAGCGTCGCTCCTCCGCCCTCCGTTGTTGTTGGAGGGCGACTGCCTCCAACTGCCCAGTAGCAGCGTCCTTCACGAGCCTCCTCCACAGAGGCCGATCTTGACACCGCTGGTACCAGTCATCGGCAAGTCCACTCAGCTCCACGTCCTCCTGTACCACATCACTCCATCTCTTTTCTATCCCGTGCCGCGCCCGTTTAGCCCCCTCGATCCGGCCAAACAAAAGCTGTTTCAGCATGCGGTGGCTGGGCATGCGGGCTACATGACCCAGCCATCGCAGCCTTGCCTACCGGAGGAGCTCACCGATGGGACCTTGCCCAAATCTTTTTAAGGATTTGTGAGCTCCTCACACAATCCAGTCTGGTTAAACCCAGGATGGATCGTAGGCAGGCTAGCCTACACTCATCCACACACTCACACACTCACCCACACACACTCACACACTCACCCACACACTCACACACACACTCACACACACTCACACACACTCACACACACACACACTCACACACACTCACACACACACACTCACACACACACTCACACACACACTCACACACACTCACACACACTCACACACTCACACACACACGTGTGTGTGTGTTGTGTGTTGTGTGGTGTGTTGTGTGTTGTGTGTACGTTGTGTGTGTTGTGTTTGTTGTGTGTGTGTGGTGTCTGTGTGTGTTGTGTGTGAGTGTGTATGTGTGTGTGTGTGGTGTGTGAGTGTGTATGTGTGTTATGTGTGTGTTGTGTGTGAGTGTGTATGTGTGTGTGTGTTGTGTGGTGTGTTGTGTGGTGTGTTGTGTGTGTGTGTTGTGTGTGTTGTGTGTGTTGTGTGTGTTGTGTGTGTGTGTGTTGTGTGTGTGTGGTGTCTGTGTGTGGTGTGTGTTGTGTGTGTGTGAGTGTGTGTGTGTTGTGTGTGTGTGGTGTCTGTGTGTGTGGTGTGTGTTGTGTGAGTGTGTGTGTGTTGTGTGTGTGTGGTGTCTGTGTGTGTGGTGTGTGTTGTGTGTGTGTGTTGTGTGTGTGTGTGTGGTGTGTTGTGTATGTGTGTATGTGTTGTGTGTTGTGTGAGTGTGTGTCTGTGTGTGTGTGTTGTGTGTGTCTGTGTGTGTGTGTGTGTTGTGTGTGTCTGCGTGTGTGTGTTGTGTGTGTCTGTGTGTGTATGTGTTGTGTGTCTGTGTGAGTGTGTGTATGTGTGAGTGAGTGTGGTGTCTGTGTGAGTGTGTGTGAGTGTTGTGTGTCTGTGTGAGTGTGTGTATGTGTGAGTGAGTGTGGTGTCTGTGTGAGTGTGTGTGAGTGAGTGTGTTGTCTGTGTGTGTGTGTTGTGTGTGTGTTGTGTGTGTGAGTGAGTGTGGTGTATGTGTGTGTGTGTTGTATGTGTGTATGTGTATGTGTGTACGTTGTGTCTGTGTGTGTGTTGTCTGTGTGTGTGTGTTGTGTGTGTGTGTGTTATGTATGTGTGTGTGTGTTGTATGTGTGAGTGTATGTGTTGTGTGTTGTATGTGTGGTGTCTGTGTTGTGTGTGTGTGTTGTGTGTGTGTGTTATGTATGTGTGTGTGTGTTGTATGTGTGAGTGTATGTGTGTGTTTGTGTTGTATGTGTGTATGTGTACGTTGTGTCTGTGTGTGTGTTGTATGTGTGTGTTGTGTATGTGTTGTGTGTTGTATGTGTGGTGTCTGTGTTGTGTGTTGTGTGTGTGTTGTGTGTGTTGTGTGTTGTATGTGTGAGTGTATGTGTTGTGTGTTGTATGTGTATGTGTGGTGTCTGTGTTGTTTGTGTGTGAGTGTGTGTTGTATGTGTGTATGTGTGTGTGTTGTGTGTGTGTTGTATGTGTTGTGTGTTGAGTGTGTGTGTTGTGTGTCTGTTGTATGTGTGGTGTGTGTGTTGTGTGTTGTGTGAGTGAGTGTGTTGTGTGTTGTGTGAGTGAGTGTGTATGTGTGTTGTATGTGTGTATGTGTGTGTGTGTGTTGTATGTGTGAGTGTATGTGTGTGTGTGTTGTATGTGTGTGTGTTGTATGTGTGTATGTGTATGTGTGTTGTATGTGTTGTGTATGTGTATGTGTGTTGTATGTGTTGTGTATGTGTGTTGTATGTGTGTGTGTTGTGTCTGTGTTGTGTGTGTTGTATGTGTGTGTGTGTTGTATGTGTGTGTGTTGTGTGTGTGTATGTGTGTTGTATGTGTTGTGTATGTGTGTTGTATGTGTGTGTGTTGTGTCTGTGTTGTGTGTGTTGTATGTGTGTGTGTGTTGTATGTGTGTGTGTTGTATGTGTGTATGTGTATGTGTGTTGTATGTGTTGTGTATGTGTGTTGTATGTGTGTGTGTTGTGTCTGTGTTGTGTGTGTTGTATGTGTGTGTGTGTTGTATGTGTGTGTGTGTTGTATGTGTGTATGTGTATGTGTGTTGTATGTGTTGTGTATGTGTGTTGTATGTGTGTGTGTTGTCTGTGTTGTGTGTGTTGTATGTGTGTGTGTGTTGTATGTGTGGTGTCTGTGTTGTGTGTGTTGTATGTATGTGTGTATGTGTGTATGGTGTATGTGTGGTGTCTGTGTTGTTTGTGTGTGTTGTGTGTGTGTATGTGTTGTGTGTGTGTTGTGTGTGTGTTGTATGTGTGGTGTCTGTGTTGTGTGTTGTATGTGTGGTGTCTGTGTGAGTGTCTGTGTTGTGTGTTGTATGTGTGTATGTGTTGTGTCTGTGTTGTGTGTGTGTTGTATGTGTGGTGTCTGTGTTGTGTGTTGTATGTGTGTATGTGTTGTGTCTGTGTTGTGTGTGTGTTGTATGTGTGGTGTCTGTGTTGTGTGTTGTATGTGTGGTGTCTGTGTGAGTGTCTGTGTTGTGTGTTGTATGTGTGTATGTGTTGTGTCTGTGTTGTATGTGTTGTGACTGTGTTGTGTGTTGTGTGTTGTGTGAGTGAGTGTTGTATGTGTGTATGTGTATGTGTTGTGTGTTGTATGTGTGTATGTGTGTGAGTGTGTGTGTTGTATGTGTGTTGTGTGTGTGTATGGTGTGTGTATGTGTTGTGACTGTGTTGTTTGTGCTGCAGGTCAGCAAGGTGAGCCTCGTGGACCTGGCGGGCAGTGAGCGAGCCGACTCCACAGGCGCCAAGGGCACGCGGCTCAAGGTGCCCACCCCCTCTTATCCGCTAACCCCCTCCCTCTTATCCGCTACCCCCTCCCTCTTATCCGCTACCCCCCTCCTTCTTATCCGCTACCCCCTCCCTCCCTCTTATCCGCTACCCCCCTCCTTATCCACTACCCACCCTCCCTCTTATCTGCTAGCCCCCCTCCCTCTTATCCGCAACCCCCCCTCCCTCTTATCTCCTTCCCCCTCCCTCTTATCTGCTACCCCCCTCCCTCTTATCCGCTTCCCCCCTCCCTCTTATCCGCTACCCCCCCTCCCTCTTATCTGCTTCCCCCCTCCCTCTTATCCGCTACCCCCCTCCCTCTTATCCGCTACCCCCTCCCTCTTATCTGCTACCCCCCCTCCCTCTTATCTGCTACCCCCCCTCCCTCTTATCCGCTACCCCCTCCCTCTTATCCGCTACCTCCCCTCCATCTTATCCACTACCTCCCCTCCATCTTATCTGCTACCTCCCCTCCCTCTTATCCGCTTCCCCCCTCCCTCTTATCCGCTACCCCCCCTCCCTCTTATCCGCTACCCCCTCCCTCTTATCCGCTACCTCCCCTCCATCTTATCCACTACCTCCCCTCCATCTTATCTGCTACCTCCCCTCCCTCTTATCCGCTTCCCCCCTCCCTCTTATCCGCTACCCCCCCTCCCTCTTATCTGCTTCCCCCCTCCCTCTTATCCGCTACCTGCCTCCCTCTTATCCGCTACCCCCTCCCTCTTATCCGCTACCCCCCTCCTTCTTATCCGCTACCCCCTCCCTCTTATCCGCTACCCCCCTCCTTCTTATCCGCTTCCCCCCTCCCTCTTATCCGCTTCCCCCCTCCCTCTTATCCGCTTCCCCCCTCCCTCTTATCCGCTTCCCCCCCTCCCTCTTATCTGCTACCCCCCCCCTCCCTCTTATCCGCTTCCCTCCTCTATCTTATCTGCTACCCCCCTTCCCTCTTATCTGCTACCCCCCCTCCCTTTTATCTGCTACCTCCCCTCCATCTTATCGGCTTCCCCCCCTTCCTCTTATCCGCTACCCCCCTCCTTATCCACTACCCACAATCCCTCTTATCTGCTAGCCCCCCTCCCTCTTATCCGCAACCCCCCCCTCCCTCTTATCAACTACCCGTGTGTGTGTGTCACTGTGTGTGTGTCACTGTGTGTGTGTCACTGTGTGTGTGTCACTGTGTGTGTGTAACTGTGTGTGTGTTACTGTGTGTGTCACTGTGTGTGTGTGTCACTGTGTGTGTGTGTGTCACTGTGTGTTTGTCACTGTGTGTGTGTGTCACTGTGTGTGTGTGTCACTGTGTGTGTGTCACTGTGTGCGTGTGTCACTGTGTGTGCGTGTGTCACTGTGTGTGTGCGTGTGTCACTGTGTGTGTGTGTGTCACTGTGTGTGTGTGTCACTGTGTGTGTCTGTCACTTTAATTCTGGGCAGTGTGCTTATGACTGGCTCCAGTTTAACAGCAGAGGTCTCACTCCGAATCAGTCGAGCGGCAATATCTTTTCATCGGTTGCGTAACGCTGTGTGGAAGCTACCTGGTCTGTCGCGCCGCACTAAGCTTCAGGTCTTCTCGGCCACGGTCATTCCCTCCCTTCTCTACGCTTGCGAAACGTGGACCCCCCTAATGGAACATCTTCGCCGGTTAGAAACATTTAGGCTGACCTGCCTACGATCCATCCTGGGTTTAACCAGACTGGATTGTGTGAGGAGCTCACAAATCCTTGAAAGATCTGGGCAGGGTCCCATCGGTGAGCTCCTCCGGCAGGCAAGGCTGCGATGGCTGGGTCATGTAGCCCGCATGCCCAGCCACCGCATGCCGAAACAGCTTTTGTTTGGCCGGATTGAGGGGGCTAAGCGGGCGCGGCACGGGCTAGAGAAGAGATGGAGTGATGTGGTACAGGAGGACGTGGAGCTGAGTGGACTTGCCGATGACTGGTACCAGCGGTGTCAAGATCGGCCTCTGTGGAGGAGGCTCGTGAAGGATGCTACTGGGCAGTTGGAGGCAGTCGCCCTCCAACAACAACGGAGGGCGGAGGAGCGACGCTCACAACAGCGAGCGGAGCGCCGGGTGGCTAAAGCACAGCAGGTTGGCACAGTAGGGGGCACAGGTGGTGCATCAGCCAGTCATCTCAGTCAGTCGACCCGTGGCACCTGGGTCTGCCCCGTGACCTCCTGCCAGCGGGCGTTCGACACTTCACGTGGCCTCAGGGTGCACATAGCCTGGCACAAGCGTCGTGGTGACGTCACCGCCACTTAGTGGCGAATGGCGGTTGTTGTTGTCTGTCACTGTGTGTGTGTGTCACTGTGTGTGTGTCACTGTGTGTGTGTCACTGTGTGTGTGTGTCACTGTGTGTGTGTGTCACTGTGTGTGTGTCACTGTGTGTGTGTGTCACTGTGTGTGTGTGTCACTGTGTGTGTCACTGTGTGTGTGTGTGTCACTGTGTGTGTGTGTGTCACTGTGTGTGTGTGTCACTGTGTGTGTGTGTCACTGTGTGTGTGTCACTGTGTGTGTGTCACTGTGTGTGTGTGTCACTGTGTGTGTGTGTGTCACTGTGTGTGTGTCCGTCTGCTACAGCAGAGGTGTAGGGAATTCCAACAAGACCTACATCTCTGCTTTATTGACCTGGTCAAGGCCTATGATACCATCAGTAGGCCTGGGCTCTGGGTCGTTCTTCGTGCTTTTGGGGTACCTGACCCTCTGCTCACGATCATTAAGGACCTTCATGATGGTGAGCGGGCCCGGGTAAAACTACGTGGCCGGGAGTCAGAGCCATTCCCTGTACATCTTGGGGTGCGACAGGGATGTCCTCTGGCTCCCACATTATTTAACATCTATTTTGACCACGTAGTTCGTGAAGCCTTCAATAGCTGTACCGGGGGAATCTCCATATGGTACAGATATAATGGGAGGCTAATCGATGCCCGGGTGCGGTCAAGGGATGGCTCCCTATTGCTCAACCACGTTATGTATGCTGATGACTTGGTAATAGCTGCTCAGTCAGAGGAGGAGTTGGAGACGCTGCTGCTGAGACTGGAGCGTGCCACTAAGAGGTGGGGCCTTACCATCAGCCCCACCAAAACTAAGCACCTGCCTGGGTATTTTGTACCATCGGACACTCCACCCCCACAACTCCCAATCGGTGATGGGGCAGTTGTGGAGAGAGTGGAGAGTTTCCCATACCTGGGCAGTGTGCTTATGACTGGCTCCAGTTTAACAGCAGAGGTCTCACTCCGAATCAGTCGAGCGGCAATATCTTTTCATCGGTTGCGTAACGCTGTGTGGAAGCTACCTGGTCTGTCGCTCCGCACTAAGCTTCAGGTCTTCTCGGCCACGGTCATTCCCTCCCTTCTCTACGCTTGCGAAACGTGGACCCCCCTAATGGAACATCTTCGCCGGTTAGAAACATTTAGGCTGACCTGCCTACGATCCATCCTGGGTTTAACCAGACTGGATTGTGTGAGGAGCTCACAAATCCTTGAAAGATCTGGGCAGGGTCCCATCGGTGAGCTCCTCCGGCAGGCAAGGCTGCGATGGCTGGGTCATGTAGCCCGCATGCCCAGCCACCGCATGCCGAAACAGCTTTTGTTTGGCCGGATTGAGGGGGCTAAGCGGGCGCGGCACGGGCTAGAGAAGAGATGGAGTGATGTGGTACAGGAGGACGTGGAGCTGAGTGGACTTGCCGATGACTGGTACCAGCGGTGTCAAGATCGGCCTCTGTGGAGGAGGCTCGTGAAGGATGCTACTGGGCAGTTGGAGGCAGTCGCCCTCCAACAACAACGGAGGGCGGAGGAGCGACGCTCACAACAGCGAGCGGAGCGCCGGGTGGCTAAAGCACAGCGGGTTGGCACAGTAGGGGGCACAGGTGGTGCATCAGCCAGTCATCTCAGTCAGTCGACCCGTGGCACCTGGGTCTGCCCCGTGACCTCCTGCCAGCGAGCGTTCGACACTTCACGTGGCCTCAGGGTGCACATAGCCTGGCACAAGCGTCGTGGTGACGTCACCGCCACTTAGTGGCGAATGGCGGTTGTTGTGTTGTTGTTGTGTGTCACTGTGTGTGTGTAACTGTGTGTGTGTGTCACTGTGTGTGTGTGTGTGTGTCACTGTGTGTGTGTCACTGTGTGTGTGTCACTGTGTGTGTGTGTCACTGTGTGTGTGTGTCACTGTGTGTGTGTGTCACTGTGTGTGTGTGTCACAGAATGAAGGGGGCGTGGGAGCGTGGCGGTGAGGTGTGGGAAGCTGTAAGCCCCAGGCTACTTTGGGCTCGCCTTCCCATCAACCGGAGGCGAGGAATGGTGGTCGTGGTTACTTATGCCCCCACCGAAGATGAACATCCGTGGAGGGATGCAGGCAAAGCCGATGAGTCAGGTGCCTTCTATGACCTCCTGTCACAGGTGCTGGCTAAAGTGGCCCCTCGGGATAGAGTCATCATGTTGGGTGACTTCAATGCCCGAGTTGGTCATGATACTGGCACCTGGTCTGGAGTGATTGGAGGGCATGGGCCAGATCAGCTCAATAACAACGGTAGGAGGCTGCTAGATTTTTGTGCAGCCCATGGGCTTGTAAATACCAACACGCTGTTCCGGCATCGGCGCATCCACACAACATCATGGATGCATGCCGGGTCCAAGCAAGAACATCTGCTGGACTACATAGTGACGGACCAGCGAATACGAGCCCATGTCCTTGACACCAGGACCTACCGTGGAGCTGATCTGCCCTCTGACCATCGACTAGTCATCTGTAAGATGCGCCTGCCATTCTTCCACTCCGGTGGTGGGTGTACACCCAGGACCCCATTCCAACCTAAAGTGGCCTGGTCTCAGTTATCTGATGAAAGTTGCAAGCGATAATTTCATCATCGCTTGCGGCTGGGATTGGCATCGTCCCCGACTCCTCCTGATGTCGAGGGTAAATGGGCGAGGTTTAGGACTGTGACTCATGCAGCTGCAATGGCTGCTTTGGGTACGCGGTCCAGACCTCCCCAGACACCCTGGATGACAGAGGAGTTGTTCAGGATGGTTGAGAAAAAGCGACAGGCCCACTGTCATCGGCTACAGAATCCCACGTCAGAGAATGAGGAGGCTTACCGCAGCCTTCGCTCGGAGGTTCGGAGAGCCGTGAGGCGCTGCAAGGATGGGTGGTGGTCGCGGGTTGCTGAGGAGATGGAGTCTGCCTCAGTGGCCCGTGATCACAAATCTCTATTTAACTCCATCAAAAAAGTAACCTGCAGCGCCACACCGATTACCATCATTAGGGGAAAAAACGGTGATCCAATTTCCGACCCCCAGGAACAGGTTCGCAGATTTGCTGAGCATTTCTGTGAGGTCCTGGGGGAGGGAAAATCCCTCAGCCAGGAAAACATCGTGGCACAAAGTGAGGATGACCCTGCTGAGGCTGCGGTGCCTCAAATATTGGATGAAGTCACCCCCTGTGAGTGGCTGGCTGAGGTGCCATCTGCTGAGGAAGTATTGAAGGCGATCCGGAGTCTGAGACCAGGAAAGGCAGCGGGCAGAGATGATCTCCCAAGCGAAATGCTGAGGGAGGGTGGCGTTTGTGCACAGACTGCCCTATATGACATCATAACAACAGTCTGGACCACTGGACGGGTTCCGCAGGATTGGAAGGATGCCCTGGTGGTCCCCCTTTTTAAGAAGGGGGACCGCACAGACTGTAACAACTACAGGGGCATCTCACTCCTCAGTGTGCCGGGAAAGGTCCTGGCAAGGATTATTCAGCATCGCCTTGCCAGGCATGCTGAGGAGAGGCTTGCGGAGCCCCAATGCGGTTTCAGGAAAGGGCGGTCCTGCACAGATGCCATATTTTCTGTCCGTCTGCTACAGCAGAGGTGTAGGGAATTCCAACAAGACCTACATCTCTGCTTTATTGACCTGGTCAAGGCCTATGATACCATCAGTAGGCCTGGGCTCTGGGTCGTTCTTCGTGCTTTTGGAGTACCTGACCCTCTGCTCACGATCATTAAGGACCTTCATGATGGTGAGCGGGCCCGGGTAAAACTACGTGGCCGGGAGTCAGAGCCATTCCCTGTACACCTTGGGGTGCGACAGGGATGTCCTCTGGCTCCCACATTATTTAACATCTATTTTGACCACGTAGTTCGTGAAGCCTTCAATAGCTGTACCGGGGGAATCTCCATATGGTACAGATATAATGGGAGGCTAATCGATGCCCGGGTGCGGTCAAGGGATGGCTCCCTATTGCTCAACCACGTTATGTATGCTGATGACTTGGTAATAGCTGCTCAGTCAGAGGAGGAGTTGGAGACGCTGCTGCTGAGACTGGAGCGTGCCACTAATAGGTGGGGCCTTACCATCAGCCCCACCAAAACTAAGCACCTGCCTGGGTATTTTGTACCATCGGACACTCCACCCCCACAACTCCCAATCGGTGATGGGGCAGTTGTGGAGAGAGTAGAGAGTTTCCCATACCTGGGCAGTGTGCTTATGACTGGCTCCAGTTTAACAGCAGAGGTCTCACTCCGAATCAGTCGAGCGGCAATATCTTTTCATCGGTTGCGTAACGCTGTGTGGAAGCTACCTGGTCTGTCGCTCCGCACTAAGCTTCAGGTCTTCTCGGCCACGATCATTCCCTCCCTTCTCTACGCTTGCGAAACGTGGACCCCCCTAATGGAACATCTTCGCCGGTTAGACACATTTAGGCTGACCTGCCTACGATCCATCCTGGGTTTAACCAGACTGGATTGTGTAAGGAGCTCACAAATCCTTGAAAGATCTGGGCAGGGTCCCATCGGTGAGCTCCTCCGGCAGGCAAGGCTGCGATGGCTGGGTCATGTAGCCCGCATGCCCAGCCACCGCATGCCGAAACAGCTTTTGTTTGGCCGGATTGAGGGGGCTAAGCGGGCGCGGCACGGGCTAGAGAAGAGATGGAGTGATGTGGTACAGGAGGACGTGGAGCTGAGTGGACTTGCCGATGACTGGTACCAGCGGTGTCAAGATCGGCCTCTGTGGAGGAGGCTCGTGAAGGATGCTACTGGGCAGTTGGAGGCAGTCGCCCTCCAACAACAACGGAGGGCGGAGGAGCGACGCTCACAATAGCGAGCGGAGCGCCGGGTGGCTAATGCACAGCAGGTTGGCACAGTAGGGGGCACAGGTGGTGCATCAGCCAGTCATCTCAGTCATCTCAGTCAGTCGACCCGTGGCACCTGGGTCTGCCCCGTGACCTCCTGCCAGCGGGCGTTCGACACTTCACGTGGCCTCAGGGTGCACATAGCCTGGCACAAGCGTCGTGGTGACGTCACCGCCACTTAGTGGCGAATGGCGGTTGTTGTTGTTGTTGTGTGTCACTGTGTGTGTGTCACTGTGTGTGTGTCTGTGTGTGTCACTGTGTGTGTGTCTGTGTGTGTCTGTGTGTGTCACTGTGTGTCACTGTGTGTGTCACTGTGTGTGTCACTGTGTGTGTGTGTCACTGTGTGTGTGTGTGTGTCACTGTGTGTGTGTGTGTCACTGTGTGTGTGTGTGTCATTGTGTGTGTGTGTGTCACTGTGTGTGTGTGTCACTGTGTGTGTCACTGTGTGTGTGTGTCACTGTGTGTGTGTGTCACTGTGTGTGTGTGTCACTGTGTGTGTGTGTCACTGTGTGTGTGTCACTGTGTGTGTGTGTCACTGTGTGTGTGTGTGTCACTGTGTGTGTGTCACTGTGTGTGTGTGTCACTGTGTGTGTGTCACTGTGTGTGTGTGTCACTGTGTGTGTGTGTCACTGTGTGTGTGTGTGCGTAGTGTAGCGGGTAGCGCTACACTACGCTACCAATCCGGCGAACCGAGTTCGCTCGTGGCCAACACCGCACAGTGATGACGTCGATTCTGAACCGGCACCTGGGCCTCCCCTAGGTCGACTCGGCCTAAAAAAAAACTAGCAGTGTCCTGGTGCCGCCGGGGAGAGACAAAGGCGGCCGGGCGTGGTGGTGCTCGCCACACCGCCACCTCTGTGTGTGCCACAGTGCCAGGTAGCCTTCGTAGGCGGCGCCGCTCGCTGCACACAGCACTTGCCCCTACGGTCTGCCGAGGCTACGCGGGGCACCTTTGGCTGTGTTGTGCCGCTACCACGTGATGTGCCGCTACCACGTGATGTGCCGCTACCACGTGATGTGCCGCTACCACGTGATGTGCCGTCCCCCATCGCCCCGCCCCCAGGAGGGAGCCAACATCAACAAGTCGCTCACCACGCTGGGCAAAGTGATCTCTGCCCTGGCGGACGTGGTGGGTGAACACACACACACAGATTACACATATATATTATATACACATACACACACATACATTATATACACATTACACATTACACATATACATTATATACACATACACACATACACACACATACATTATATACACATTACACACATACACACATACACACACATACATTATATACACATTACACACATACACACACACATACACACATACATTACACACATACATACATTACACACACATTACACACACACATACACACACACATTACACACATACATACATTACATACACACATACACACATACATACACATACATACACACACACATACACACACATACACATACACACATACACATACATACATACACATACATACACACATACACACACATACATACACATACATACACATACATACATACACATACATACACACATACACACACATATACATTATATACACATACACACACATACACATACATTACACACACATACATACACATACACACACATACACACATACATACACACACACATACATTACACACACATACACTACACACATACACACATACACATACATACACATACACACACACATACACACACATACATTACACACACACATACACATACATACATTACACACACACATACCCACACACATACATACAAAATACCCCGGCAGGTGCTTAGTTTTGGTGGGGCTGATGGTAAGGCCCCACCTCTTAGTGGCATGCTCCAGTCTCAGCAGCAGCATCTCCAACTCCTCCTCTGAATGAGCAGCTATTACCAAATCATCAGCATACATAATGTGGTTGAGCAATAGGGAGCCATCTCTTGACCACACCCGGGCATCGATATGGAGATTCCCCCGGTACAGCTATTGAAGGCTTCACGAACTACGTGGTCAAAATAGATGTTAACTACTGTGGGAGCCAGAGGACATCGCTGTCGCACCCCAAGGTGTACAGGGAATGGCTCTGACTCCCGGCCACGTAGTTTTACCCGGGCCCGCTCACCATCATGAAGGTCCTTAATGATCGTGAGCAGAGGGTCAAGTACTCCAAAACCAGGAAGAACGACCCAGAGCCCAGGCCTACTGATGGTATCATAGGCCTTGACCAGGTCAATAAAGCAGAGATGTAGGTCGTGTTGGAATTCCCTACACCTCTGCTGTAGCAGACGGACAGAAAATATGGCATCTGTGCAGGACCGCCCTTTCCTGAAACCGCATTGGGGCTCCGCAAGCCTCTCCTCAGCGTGCCTGGCAAGGCGATGTTGAATAATCCTTGCCAGGACCTTTCCCGGCACACTGAGGAGTGAAATGCCCCTGTAGTTGTTACAGTCTGTGCGGTCCCCCTTCTTAAAAAGGGGGACCACCAGGGCATCCTTCCAATCCTGCGGAACCCGTCCAGTGGTCCAGACTGTTGTTATGATGTCATATAGGGCAGTCTGTGCACAAACGCCACCCTCCCTCAGCATTTCGCTTGGGAGATCATCTCTGCCCGCTGCCTTTCCTGGTCTCAGACTCCGGATCGCCTTCAGTACTTCCTCAACAGATGGCACCTCAGCCAGCCACTCACAGGGGGTGACTTCCAATATTTGAGGCACCGCAGCCTCAGCAGGGTCATCCTCACTTTGTGCCACGATGTTTTCCTGGCTGAGGGATTTTCCCTCCCCCAGGACCTCACAGAAATGCTCAGCAAATCTGCAAACCTGTTCCTGGGGGTCGGAGATTGGATCACTGTTTTTTCCGCTAATGATGGTAATAGGTGTGGCGCTGCAGATTACTTTTTTGATGGAGTTAAATAGAGATTTGTGATCACGGGCCACTGAGGCAGACTCCATCTCCTCATAAACCCGCGACCACCACCCATCCTTGCAGCGCCTCACGGCTCTTCGAACCTCCGAGCGAAGGCTGCGGTAAGCCTCCTCATTCTCTGACGTGGGATTCTGTAGCCGATGACAGTGGGCCTGTCGCTTTTTCTCAACCATCCTGAACACCTGCTCTGTCAGCCAGGGTCTCTGGGGAGGTCTGGACCACGTACCCAAAGCAGCCATTGCAGCTGCATGAGTCACAGTCCTAAACCTCACCCATTTACCCTCGACATCAGGAGGAGTCGGGGACGATGCCAATCCCAGCCACAAGCGATGATGAAATTCTCGCTTGCAACTTTCATCAGATAACTAAGACCAGGCCACTTTAGGTTGGAATGGGGTCCTGGGTGTACACCCACCACCGGAGTGGAAGAATGGCAGGCGCATCTTACAGATGACTAGTCGATGGTCAGAGGGCAGATCAGCTCCACGGTAGGTCCTGGTGTCAAGGACATGGGCTCGCATCCGCTGGTCCGTCACTATGTAGTCCAGCAGATGTTCTTGCTTGGACCCGGCATGCATCCATGATGTTGTGTGGATGCGCCAATGCCGGAACAACGTGTTGGTAATTACAAGCCCATGGGCTGCACAAAAATCTAGCAGCCTCCTACCGTTGTTATTGAGCTGATCTGGCCCATGCCCTCCAATCACTCCAGACCAAGTGCCAGCATCATGACCAACTCGGGCATTGAAGTCACCCAACATGATGACTCTACCCCGAGGGGCCACTTTAGCCAGCACCTGTGACAGGAGGTCATAGAAGGCATCTGACTCATCGGCTTTGCCTGCATCCCTCCACGGATGTTCATCTTCGGTGAGGGCATAAGTAACCACGACCACCATTCCTCGCCTCCGGTTGATGGGAAGGCGAGCCCAAAGTAGCCTGGGGCTTATAGCTTCCCACACCTCACCGCCACGCTCCCACGCCCCCTTCATTCTTTTGTTCAAAAGAAGAGCCACACCCTGTTGTTTGGCAGTCTGCTGCCCCGAGTAGAGGACTGTCCACCCCTCATGGTGGCAAGAGCCAGAGCCGGTCCACCGGACCTCCTGAATGCCACATAGATCCAGGCGGTACCGGTCCAGCTCCCGACAGAGGAGTGGCAGCCTCTCCTCCACAGTGAGCGTTCGAACATTCCACGTGGCCACCCGTAGTGGTTTTTCGTTGTTTCTGGAGGAGCCCCGAGGGTAGATATTCAATCTCCTGGCTCCGCCAAATGGGGTTTGGCCAGGAGACGTCATAGACGCCTTGCCCCCCCGGGGCCTCCGGCACAAGCTTATTAGTTACATATTTCAGTTAACTCGTGGTTTAGAGGTAATTAATTGAAGGTGGAGGGGTTACCAGCCCCTCGCACCCGTCCAGAACCCGCGTTTAGCCCCTGTGGTGGACACAGACGCCATGAGGGGAGGAGCCAATCGAAATTGGACCTCCCCCCACAGCACTGTCCACGACAGAGTTGCCCGTCCGGCACCGCGAGGAGGTAGGGGGTTGTTTTTGCCGGACACACACACACACTCACTCACACACTCACTCACACACTTACTCACTCACACACTTACTCACACACACGTACACTCACACATACACACACACACAAACACACAGTGACACCATTAACCGTGGGCTCGAGTCGGATCCTGACAGGTGTCCTTGTTCAAGAGAGGGACAACTCCTTGCGTACTGTGGGTAAAGTCACGTGGGTAGAAGAAACCCAGTAGCTCGCGACGTTTCGGTCGCAACACCTAGCGATCATTGACGTCCCGGGGTGGACATCCACAGCAGGGCAGAAACTGCTGAAGTAGGCGTCTGTGGTTCTATTCACCACGGGACTTCACCAAAGGAACCAAGGTAGTGTGGATTCCCGCAGTCCACGAAAGCTTCGAATGGAGATTAAAGGAAGAATGTTGACAGAAGCTGTTCATTCTCTGCCCCATGCTCTGGCCGAAGGACGCATTTCCACCTGGCAAGGTGAATTAGCGCAGAGACTCGCAGATTAGTCGCGCGGAGACCCACAGAGACACACAGACTCACCACGCAGAGACCCACAGACTCGCCACACCGAGACCCACAGACTCACCACGCAGAGACCCACAGAGACCCACAGACTCACCACACAGAGACCCACAGACTCGCCACACCGAGACCCACAGACTCACCACGCAGAGACCCACAGAGACCCACAGACTCACCACGCAGAGACCCACAGAGACCCACAGACTCACGACACAGAGACCCACAGACTCACGACACAGAGACCCACAGACTCACCACGCAGAGACCCACAAACTCACCACACACAGAGACCCACAGACTCACCACATACAGAGACCCACAGACTCACCACATGCAGAGACCCACAGACTCACCACATACAGAGACCCACAGACTCACCTCACACAGAGACCCACAGACTCACCTCACACAGACTCACCACATAGAGACCCACAGACTCACCTCGCAGAGAGACCCACAGACTCGCCACACAGAGACCCACAGACTCATCACACAGAGACCCACAGACTCACCACACAGAGACCCACAGACTCACTCACACAGAGACCCACAGACTCACCACACAGAGACCCACAGACTCATCACACAGAGACCCACAGACTCACTCACACAGAGACCCACAGACTCGCCACACAGAGACCCACAGGCTCATCACACATAGACCCACAGACTCACCACACAGAGACCCACAGACTCACTCACACAGATACCCACAGACTCGCCACACAGAGACCCACAGACTCACCACACAGAGACCCACAGACTCACTACACAGAGACCCACAGACTCACTACACAGAGACCCACAGACTCATCACACAGAGACCCACAGACTCACCACACAGAGACCCACAGACTCACCACACAGATACCCACAGACTCGCCACACAGAGACCCACAGACTCACCACACAGAGACCCACAGACTCACTACACAGAGACGCACAGACTCACTACACAGAGACCCACAGACTCACTACATAGAGACCCACAGACTCACCACGCAGAGACCCACAGACTCGCCACACAGAGACCCACAGACTCACCACACAGAGACCCACAGAGTCGCCACACAGAGACCCATAGACGCACCACACAGAGACCCATAGACTCACCACACAGAGACCCACAGACTCACCACGCAGAGATCCACAGACTCACCACGCAGAGACCCACAGACTCGCCACACAGAGACCCACAGACTCGCCACACAGAGACCCACAGGCTCATCACACATAGACCCACAGACTCGCCACACAGAGACCCACAGACTCACTCACACAGAGACCCACAGACTCGCCACACAGAGACCCACAGGCTCATCACACATAGACCCACAGACTCACCACACAGAGACCCACAGACTCACTCACACAGAGACCCACAGACTCGCCACACAGAGACCCACAGGCTCATCACACATAGACCCACAGACTCACCACACAGAGACCCACAGACTCACTCACACAGATACCCACAGACTCGCCACACAGAGACCCACAGACTCACCACACAGAGACCCACAGACTCACTACACAGAGACCCACAGACTCACTACACAGAGACCCACAGACTCATCACACAGAGACCCACAGACTCACCACACAGAGACCCACAGACTCACCACACAGATACCCACAGACTCGCCACACAGAGACCCACAGACTCACCACACAGAGACCCACAGACTCACTACACAGAGACCCACAGACTCACTACACAGAGACCCACAGACTCACTACACAGAGACCCACAGACTCATCACACAGAGACCCACAGACTCACCATGCAGAGATCCACAGACTCACCACACAGAGACCCACAGACTCATCACACAGAGACCCACAGACTTGCTACACAGAGGCCCACAGACTCACCACACAGAGACCCACAGACTCGCCACACAGAGACCCACAGACTCACCACACACTGAGACCCACAGACTCACCACACAGAGACCCACAGACTCACCACGCAGAGACCCACAGATTCACCACACAGAGATCCACAGACTCACCACGCAGAGACCCACAGACTCACCACGCAGAGACCCACAGACTCGCCACACAGAGACCCACAGACTCACCACACAGAGACCCACAGAGTCGCCACACAGAGACCCATAGACGCACCACACAGAGACCCATAGACTCACCACACAGAGACCCACAGACTCACCACGCAGAGATCCACAGACTCACCACGCAGAGACCCACAGACTCGCCACACAGAGACCCACAGACTCACCACACAGAGACCCACAGACTCACTCACACAGAGACCCACAGACTCGCCACACAGAGACCCACAGGCTCATCACACATAGACCCACAGACTCACCACACAGAGACCCACAGACTCACTCACACAGATACCCACAGACTCGCCACACAGAGACCCACAGACTCACCACACAGAGACCCACAGACTCACTACACAGAGACCCACAGACTCACCACACAGAGACCCACAGACTCACCACACAGATACCCACAGACTCGCCACACAGAGACCCACAGACTCACCACACAGAGACCCCCAGACTCACTACACAGAGACCCACAGACTCACTACACAGAGACCCACAGACTCATCACACAGAGACCCACAGACTCACCACACAGAGACCCACAGACTCACCATGCAGAGATCCACAGACTCACCACACAGAGGCCCACAGACTCATCACACAGAGACCCACAGACTTGCTACACAGAGGCCCACAGACTCACCACACAGAGACCCACAGACTCGCCACACAGAGACCCACAGACTCACCACACACTGAGACCCACAGACTCACCACACACAGAGACCCACAGACTCACCACGCAGAGATCCACAGATTCACCACGCAGAGACCCACAGACTCGCCACACAGAGACCCACAGACTCACCACACAGAGACCCACAGAGACCCACAGAGTCGCCACACAGAGACCCATAGACGCACCACACAGAGACCCATAGACTCACCACGCAGAGATCCACAGACTCACCACGCAGAGACCCACAGACTCGCCACACAGAGACCCACAGACTCACCACACACAGAGACCCACAGACTCACCACACAGAGACCCACAGACTCATCACACAGAGACCCACAGACTCACCACGCAGAGACCCACAGACTCACCACACAGAGACCCACAGACTCACCACGCAGAGACCCACGGTCTCACCACTTAGAGACCCACAGACTCACCACACAGAGACCCACAAACTCACCACACACAGAGACCCACAGACTCAACACACAGAGACGCACAGACTCACCACACAGAGACCCACAGACTCACCACACAGAGACCCACAGACTCACCCACACAGAGACCCACAGATTCACCACACAGAGACCCACAGACCCCCCACACAGAGACTCATAGACTCACCACACAGAAACCCACAGATTCACCAGACAGAGACCCACAGACTCATCACACAGAGACCCACAGAGAGACTCACAGAGACCCACAAACTCACCTCACACAGAGACCCACAGACTCACCTCACACGGAGACCCACAGACTCACCACACAGATACCCACAGACTCGCCACACAGAGACCCACAGACTCACCACACAGAGACCCACAGACTCACTACACAGAGACCCACAGACTCACTACACAGAGACCCACAGACTCACTACATAGAGACCCACAGACTCACCACGCAGAGACCCACAGACTCGCCACACAGAGACCCACAGACTCACCACACAGAGACCCACAGAGTCGCCACACAGAGACCCATAGACGCACCACACAGAGACCCATAGACTCACCACACAGAGACCCACAGACTCACCACGCAGAGATCCACAGACTCACCACGCAGAGACCCACAGACTCGCCACACAGAGACCCACAGACTCGCCACACAGAGACCCACAGGCTCATCACACATAGACCCACAGACTCGCCACACAGAGACCCACAGACTCACTCACACAGAGACCCACAGACTCGCCACACAGAGACCCACAGGCTCATCACACATAGACCCACAGACTCACCACACAGAGACCCACAGACTCACTCACACAGAGACCCACAGACTCGCCACACAGAGACCCACAGGCTCATCACACATAGACCCACAGACTCACCACACAGAGACCCACAGACTCACTCACACAGATACCCACAGACTCGCCACACAGAGACCCACAGACTCACTACACAGAGACCCACAGACTCATCACACAGAGACCCACAGACTCACCATGCAGAGATCCACAGACTCACCACACAGAGACCCACAGACTCATCACACAGAGACCCACAGACTTGCTACACAGAGTCCCACAGACTCACCACACAGAGACCCACAGACTCGCCACACAGAGACCCACAGACTCACCACACACTGAGACCCACAGACTCACCACACAGAGACCCACAGACTCACCACGCAGAGACCCACAGATTCACCACACAGAGATCCACAGACTCACCACGCAGAGACCCACAGACTCACCACGCAGAGATCCACAGACTCGCCACACAGAGACCCACAGACTCACCACACAGAGACCCACAGAGTCGCCACACAGAGACCCATAGACGCACCACACAGAGACCCATAGACTCACCACACAGAGACCCACAGACTCACCACGCAGAGATCCACAGACTCACCACGCAGAGACCCACAGACTCGCCACACAGAGACCCACAGACTCACCACACAGAGACCCACAGACTCACTCACACAGAGACCCACAGACTCGCCACACAGAGACCCACAGGCTCATCACACATAGACCCACAGACTCACCACACAGAGACCCACAGACTCACTCACACAGATACCCACAGACTCGCCACACAGAGACCCACAGACTCACCACACAGAGACCCACAGACTCACTACACAGAGACCCACAGACTCACCACACAGAGACCCACAGACTCACCACACAGATACCCACAGACTCGCCACACAGAGAC